GGGCGGGTGGCCGGCGGCACGGAAGGTCTGCCCGGTGACCCTGCTCTCGGCGTACTGCTCCTCATACTCCTCTGCAAGAGAAACGGTGCTGGGACCCTGCTCCCGCGGCAGGAGGAAGATGCTGGCAGCGCTGGGACCCCAGGAGCCCACCCCGTTCCTCTCAGGGGCTGCCTGGGGACACGTGGGTCTCACGGGGAAGCAGAGCCCTGCCGGGGGACAGCCAGGAGGGAACTCAGTGTCTCCCCATCCTGTAATTGTTGAGCTAATTAATGTTGGTCGTTATGGCCTGGCGGAAACCAGGTCTGCTCAGGCTGACTTAACGAGATTACAAGGCGGGGGGAGGCCGGGTGCTGATCTAATCGATGCTGCAGAGCATCCGCGCCGAGGCCCCGGGCGGCTTGGGTAAGAAATTGGAAGGAAACAAAATCAGCAGCCAGGCTGATGCGGTTAGAGAGAGTGGCGGCTGGTGACCACAGCCCTCGTGGGCACAACCGTGCCACGGTGGGGCTGGTGCCCACCCCGGTGGCCCTGGCCACTTTGCCACCTGCAGCAGTGACTGGGGAGCAGAGCCCAGAGAGGGGCTGCTGGAGGCTGGGACCCCCCGGGGACCCCACTTCCACAGCTTGGTGGGGTCTGAGCAGCGGCTCGGACCCATGCACGTGGGAGATGACCTCACTGTCCACATGGTGGTCGTGCACCCAGGGCATCCCCCGTCCCCGGCACCCCCTGGCCCCGCTACCTTGCAGCAGGCTCTGGAGGTTGAGCTGAGCCTCCTGGTGCAGCCGCTCCATGCCCGGCGGGCGCCCGGCCGCCAGGAAGACGTTCACCGGCTGCTGCCATGACAGCTTGGCGGGGGCGGCTTTCTTGCTCTCCAGGTCCAGGTTAGAGGTGGCTGTGGGCAGGAGGGAGCAGAGTGAGACCAAGGCGGGCAGGCAGCTGTGCTGTGAGCGCTGATGGCCCTCACCACATGGGCACAGCGCACTCATCCTGTCCTTGGCCTCTCCAGGAACACGGGGAATGGGATGTGGCTGTGTCTCACCCCGGCAAAGCCACCTAGGCAGGCTGCTGCCAGGCTGGGACCAGACCCCATTGCCACCACCGCTGCTGCTCCGGGGGCTGGACGCGGTCCCCGGAGGCTGCCGGGACAAGCCGTGCAGGGAGCAGGGTGAAATTGGGGAAGGAAGCAAGCCCTGTGGCCCCAGGCAAGCACTCAGCTGCTCCCGGGCGCAGGAAACGCCGCAGGCTCCGGTGAAGCAACCTCCTGGCTGCAGGAGAGCAGAAGTTGCAACCGAAAAGGAGGAGAGAAAGGGGACAGGGCGTCTTTCATCACACTGGTTTCACCTCCTCGGCGAGGTTAACGCACCCTGCTCCAACCGTGGATACCCTGCTACTGTCTCCTGGGGAGGAAACCTCTGCTGGGATGGGCCTGGCACTTGCCCAGACCCTCCAAAATGCCCACAGGGCTGGAAAAGTCGCTGGGAGAAGGATTTGGGCTTGCTGGGGAGCTGGCTGTGCTGGGAGCTGAGTGGAGCCCCCCAAACAGGCTTTGGCTCGGGAAGCCCTGCGTCCCTGGCACCTCGGCTCCGGAGCAGCACCAGCCCCAGGATGTGGGTTTCCTCCCCATCACAGTTCTGTGTGGGAGCCCAGCGAGTGCCACCGCCGGCACGCTGCCCGCCCTGCTCATCCCACCCCGACCAGGCAGTGAGGGCAGAGAGTGGGTTTGTGAGCTTCAAACCGGGGGGCCATGGATGACCAAGGTCTCATCCCTGGGGATTTAGGGCTAATCCTTCTCCACCCACCCCTGGTGCAGGCAGAGGGGTGACCACTATCGGCACCAGGCACTGTGCAAGGTCCTGTGCCCGGTGTCACCCCCCAGGCTGGGTGTCACCCCCAGGGACCAGGGTCTGACATCCCTTCACCCTGTCCCGTAGCTGGGACACTCCGGTGGAGCAGCCAGCACCGCTTCCCCCGCCTGGGCTGGGGGTGACAACCCGAGTTTGACCCCCGTTTTGCAGGAATGAGCAGCGAGTGAGGGGCTGGGGGGCTGAGGGTGTTCCCGGGGTGCTGGGGGTGCAGGACAGCGTGCCCATGCCCGTCCCCGTCCCCATCAGTCGAGGCACTCCTGTTGCCAGCGTGACAAACACTTCCCCTCGGCCACCCGCAGTGGCAGGGTGCCCATCCCCAGCCAGCGTGCCACCGCCCTAATTGCCAAAACACAGCTGCCTCTGGCCACGGCACCCAGCCCCATGCCAGACCCCAGCCCAGGCAGCGCCTGGGGGAAGGGGAACGGCCCAAAAATGGGTCTGGGTTCCCCAGAACCTCCTGCACAACCCATGGCCCCTCTTCCTGCAGGCAGCCGTGCCCTGGAGCACCTGGCACTGCATCCCGAGCATCGCCCTGCTGCCCCCAGGAGCCACCCTGCCCCTGAGTGCCATCCTGCCCTGAGTGCCATCCTGCCCCTCGGATGCCATCCTGTCCCTGGGTGCCACCCTGCCCCTGAGTGCCATCCTGTCCCTTGGATGCCATCCTGTCCCCGGGTACCACCCTGCCCACCCTTCCCCCAGCTGCAGCTGATGGAGCGGCAGAGCCTGCACAACACCCCGCACCCAAAAGCAAGGTGCCACGTCCCTAGCCTAGTTACTTTTATAATTTGTGTTACCATAACGACGTGCCTTAACACCAGGCTTTTTTTCCTTCCCTTTTTTTTTCTTTTTTTTTTTTTCCCCTCCTTTAAATAATTTGACTCGTTTCCATATCAACCGAGAGGTGTCGGGGCGGGTGTGTGTGTACACACCACGCTGAGGCTTCGCCTGGCAGCAGAGCCCCATCCCGCAGGGCAGTGCCACGCAGCCGGGGAGGAAGCTCCCCCTTCTCTCACACAGGGACGGGGCTTTTCCCCCTCTCCCCTCCCAGTTTGGTGCCTCGATGCCCAGAGGGGCCGGGGGTCCTGGCAGAAGGAGCCCCGTGCCCTGGCCCCTGGCTCACCCCGTGCACCCAGCTGTCCGCAGGATGGGAGCGTGGCTGGGCACGGGGCAGGGCATCCCCCCAAAACCCTGACCTACGCGGCGGCACAAAGGGAGCCGGGGGCACGGGGAGGCAGGGACCACACGCTCACCTCTGCAGACCCCAGCCCTCTAGGCCACCCTCTTTGCCGAGATGGGGGATCTGCTTGTGCCCCCCTCACTTCTGAGACCACCCCAAGGGCTGACCCCCCAGCCCAGCTCACTGCACCCCTCTGCCTGCCTCCCACTGACGCAGCCTTCGGCCTCGGTGGGTGCTGATGGCCTCACCTTCTGCCCACGCATCCCTCGGTGGCCACCCCACCACCCCCACAGACCCTGCAGCAGCTACACAGCATCCCCTCGACACTCAGGGACACCCCCAAAGCACAGCCCCCTGGCACACGCACTGTGATGGGGCAGCCCCCCACTGCCCTCCCCGCAGCACAGGAGCTTACCTCTGCAGCCTCGGCACCCCCGGGCACCCCCAGGCACCCCCTCCCAGGCACCCACCCGCGGGTTCCGACCACGTGGGCAAACCGCAGCGCCGAAACCCGGGGCCACCCATGGGCGAAGCGGAAGCCCAGGCAGGCGGGGAGGGGGAACAGGCACCCTGCCCTGCCCAGCCGAGGGGGGAGAGGGCAGCATGGCCAGCCCGGGGGGGGTCCCTGCCCTCCAGGGCTTTTCAGCCATGGCAGACGCAGGCTCCTTTGGGGACACAAGCCAAGGAGCTGGCGGGGCTGGTTTCATCTTCCTCAGCAGAAGGAGCAGCTGAGGAGGAGGAGTGGGAGGGGGTGAAGGACCCCAGCAACTCCTGTGGACCCCAAACCGCTGCTGGGTACCTCCCCCATGTCCTGGCTTTTGCTCCTTGGGAGGGTTTTTGGGCACAGCATCACGCGGGGGCTCGGTGACGCGGTGCGAGGAGCCGGCAGCCTGGCCACGGCGGGGGTGACAAGGCAGTGCTGCTGCCAGCGCTCCTGAAGCTGCCTGGTAAGGGCTGGTGCAGGAGCGGGTTTGGGGTGCCCATGAGGGCTGCCACCCACATCCGCGGGGCTCGGGATGCCCCAGCCAAGCCAGAGCGCCCGGCAGGGACACACATTGGCCAGCAGGAACGGCGCAGCCGGGGCAGAGCCTGCTGCCCTTGGCGGTGACCCTCCTGCCAGCCTTATCGGCGACAGGCTCAAAATACAAAATGCCTCCGAGGGGGCCCCCAGCCCCTGGCAAATGCCGGCGGGAGTGAAGGGTGCCCGGGGAGAGCAGAGCCGGGGGGCTGGCTCCATCCCACGCACCCCAGCACTCGTGACCTCAGCACGGGCAGCCTCGCTGCTGGGGGACACTGAGGCACCCCCAGCTCCCCCCGCACACAGCCCGTGTGTTCCCCTCCCTTTCCCCTCCGGAGCTTGCAGGGGGAGCGGGCAGCAGCCCCGGCTCTGCCTGCAGGCGTGGGCATGGGCAGGGCTGTTAGCGACAGGCAGCTGGAGGCCAGGGCTGCAGGACGCTGCTCCCTGCGCGTCCCCACGTCTCCTGGGGGTCTGTCCCTGTGTCTGCCGTCGGTCTGTCCCCTCTCAGAGCTGTGAGCTCTGCCCCTGGCCCTGGGAGCTGGTTGGCAGGGCCATGGCAGCGTCCCGCTGGGACGGTCCCCACGGGGCTGTCCGGGGCAGGGGTGCAAGCCAGCCCCACCAGGGGCTGATGCCCCTGTAATTTTTTTTTTTTTTCCCCTCCTTTAAATAATTTGACTCGTTTCCATATCAACCGAGAGGTGTCGGGGCGGGTGTGTGTGTACACACCACGCTGAGGCTTCGCCTGGCAGCAGAGCCCCATCCCGCAGGGCAGTGCCACGCAGCCGGGGAGGAAGCTCCCCCTTCTCTCACACAGGGACGGGGCTTTTCCCCCTCTCCCCTCCCAGTTTGGTGCCTCGATGCCCAGAGGGGCCGGGGGTCCTGGCAGAAGGAGCCCCGTGCCCTGGCCCCTGGCTCACCCCGTGCACCCAGCTGTCCGCAGGATGGGAGCGTGGCTGGGCACGGGGCAGGGCATCCCCCCAAAACCCTGACCTACGCGGCGGCACAAAGGGAGCCGGGGGCACGGGGAGGCAGGGACCACACGCTCACCTCTGCAGACCCCAGCCCTCTAGGCCACCCTCTTTGCCGAGATGGGGGATCTGCTTGTGCCCCCCTCACTTCTGAGACCACCCCAAGGGCTGACCCCCCAGCCCAGCTCACTGCACCCCTCTGCCTGCCTCCCACTGACGCAGCCTTCGGCCTCGGTGGGTGCTGATGGCCTCACCTTCTGCCCACGCATCCCTCGGTGGCCACCCCACCACCCCCACAGACCCTGCAGCAGCTACACAGCATCCCCTCGACACTCAGGGACACCCCCAAAGCACAGCCCCCTGGCACACGCACTGTGATGGGGCAGCCCCCCACTGCCCTCCCCGCAGCACAGGAGCTTACCTCTGCAGCCTCGGCACCCCCGGGCACCCCCAGGCACCCCCTCCCAGGCACCCACCCGCGGGTTCTGACCACGTGGGCAAACCGCAGCGCCGAAACCCGGGGCCACCCATGGGCGAAGCGGAAGCCCAGGCAGGCGGGGAGGGGGAACAGGCACCCTGCCCTGCCCAGCCGAGGGGGGAGAGGGCAGCATGGCCAGCCCGGGGGGGTCCCTGCCCTCCAGGGCTTTCCAGCCATGGCAGACGCAGGCTCCTTTGGGGACACAAGCCAAGGAGCTGGCGGGGCTGGTTTCATCTTCCTCAGCAAAAGGAGCAGCTGAGGAGGAGGAGGAGTGGGAGAGGGCAAAGGACCCCAGCAACCCCTGTGGACTCCAAACCGTGCTGCACCCCCCTGGGTACCTCCCCCATGTCCTGGCTTTTGCTCCTTGGGAGGGTTTTTGGGCACAGCATCACGCGGGGGCTCGGCGACGCGGTGCGAGGAGCTGGCATTCCGGCCACGGCGGGGGTGACAAGGCAGTGCTGCTGCCAGCGCTCCCGAAGCTGCCTGGTGAAGGCTGGTGCAGGAGCGGGTTTGGGGTGCCCATGAGGGCTGCCACCCACATCCGCGGGGCTCGGGATGCCCCAGCCGAGCCAGAGCGCCCGGCAGGGACACACGTTGGCCAGCAGGAACGGCGCAGCTGGGGCAGAGCCTGCTGCCCTTGGCGGTGACCCTCCTGCCAGCCTTATCGGCGACAGGCTCAAAATACAAAATGCCTCCGAGGGGGCCCCCGGCCCCTGGCAAATGCCGGCGGGAGTGAAGGGTGCCCGGGGAGAGCAGAGCCGGGGGGCCGGCTCCATCCCACGCACCCCAGCACTCGTGACCTCAGCACGGGCAGCCTCGCTGCTGGGGGACACTGAGGCACCCCCAGCTCCCCCCGCACACAGCCCGTGTGTTCCCCTCCCTTTCCCCTCCGGAGCTTGCAGGGGGAGCGGGCAGCAGCCCCGGCTCTGCCTGCAGGCGTGGGCATGGGCAGGGCTGTTAGCGACAGGCAGCTGGAGGCCAGGGCTGCAGGACGCTGCTCCCTGCGTGTCCCCACGTCTCCTGGGGGTCTGTCCCCGTGTCTGCCGGCGGTCTGTCCCCTCTCAGAGCTGTGAGCTCTGCCCCTGGGGCTGGGAGCTGGTTGGCAGGGCCATGGCAGCGTCCCGCTGGGACGGTCCCCACGGGGCTGTCCGGGGCAGGGGTGCAAGCCAGTCCCACCGGGGGCTGATGCCCCTGTAAGAGCTTCCAGAGTCTTCCCAAGCGTGAGCGAGTGTTCACCCTGGGACGCCACGGCCACGGTGGGTGTTTAAGGACCGGGATTTGACTCGTTTCCATATCAACCGAGAGGTGTCGGGGCGGGTGTGTGTGTACACACCACGCTGAGGCTTCGCCTGGCAGCAGAGCCCCATCCCGCAGGGCAGTGCCACGCAGCCGGGGAGGAAGCTCCCCCTTCTCTCACACAGGGACGGGGCTTTTCCCCCTCTCCCCTCCCAGTTTGGTGCCTCGATGCCCAGAGGGGCCGGGGGTCCTGGCAGAAGGAGCCCCGTGCCCTGGCCCCTGGCTCACCCCGTGTGCCCGGCTGTCCCCAGGATGGGAGCGTGGCTGGGCACGGGGCAGGGCATCCCCCCCAACCCCTGACCTATGCGGCGGCACGAAGGGAGCCGGGGGCACGGGGGGGCAGGGACCACACGCTCACCTCAGCAGACCCCAGCCCTCCAGGCCACCCTCTTTGCCAAGATGGGGGATCTGCTTGTGCCCCCCCCCCACTTCTGAGACCACCCCAAGGGCTGACCCCCCAGCCCAGCTCACTGCACCCCTCTGCCTGCCTCCCACTGACGCAGCCTTCGGCCTCGGTGGGTGCTGATGGCCTCACCTTCTGCCCACGCATCCCTCGGTGGCCACCCCACCACCCCCACAGACCCTGCAGCAGCTACACAGCATCCCCTCGACACTCAGGGACACCCCCAAAGCACAGCCCCCTGGCACACGCACTGTGATGGGGCAGCCCCCCACTGCCCTCCCCGCAGCACAGGAGCTTACCTCTGCAGCCTCGGCACCCCCGGGCACCCCCAGGCACCCCCTCCCAGGCACCCACCCGCGGGTTCTGACCACGTGGGCAAACCGCAGCGCCGAAACCCGGGGCCA